CTATTTTTCCCAGCAAAGAGCCCGGTGGAACACGCTGAGCGTGTTAAGAAGACTCCCAGTTTACATGAACAAATTGTAATCTATCCGATTAAAAGCTATAATTCCTCTGAAACCTGCAGCATGTTTTCTGTAGTATAATATTATGATCAATGCATTGAATGGTGCACTGAGGTCTAACAGGACAAGCACAGAAATAAGTCCTCTGTAACAGGTCATAAGAAGACACATTAGTAACCTTCACTACAGCTCATGTTGTGCTTTGTTGTCCTCTCAGTTTATAAGGTGGAGGTGGATTCAGGGGTGGAGTCTGTCCAGCTGATCTGCAAAACCACAGTTTGTCTGCCTAAAGATGCTAAAGTGGAGTGGAAGGATGCAAACAACAGGAAGGTCCACGTGTATGAGAACAAACACAGGCTAAGCTAAGTCAGCTCAAATCTCAGTAAAAACCTTCTTTGGTCCTCATCTATAATCAGTTATGATTATAGATGCACGTACATGCTGCACGTGAAAGCAGCATGTACAGTTTACTAACTAACCCCACAAAGCATCAGTGTTTCAATAACACTGTGAATTAAAATGGAGATGCTAATCAGGGTTAGCATGTTACCCTGCTAGCAGTCTTGGCACATGGACAATGTTGTAGCCGTATATGTTACTTAGTTTGTTCGTGTAGCTCCCAGTGAAGCAGCAGCATTCAGCCTGTTAGAGTCAACACAAATGTCTCCATCCAAGCTCATGTTGTGCTTTGTTGTCCTCTCAGTCCCCCAGGTGGAGGTGGATTCAGGGGTGGAGTCTGTCCAGCTGCCCTTCAACACCACACTTCACCTGCCTGAAGATGTTAAAGTGGAGTGGATGGACAACTATAGGAAGGTCCACGTGTATGAGAACGACCCTGACCAGCATGAAGAACAGCACCAGGTTTACAGAGACCGAACGAAGATGAATGAAGACCTGCTGAAAACTGGAGACCTCAGTCTGACCCTGAACTACCCCACAGACTACAACACAGACACCTACACCTGCACCGTCTACAGCAGGGAGGGAAACATCCTGCTGAAGAGAAAAGTGGAGCTGAAAGTCAGAGGTCAGTGCTGATGCCCATCCCCCTGGATGCCTAGCCAATGAAATCAGGTCATTATCTGCTGCAGATTTCCTGCTAGCTTTTTGGTACCAACAGCTGATTGTTTTTGTCTATTGTATGAGTGTCGTGACTCACTCAATGCAGTCTGTCCTTAACGCTTTTAAGCCCATTTGCGTTACTTTTTTAAAATCACGGTCGAACTGTGGCTCATTATATGGCTTCGCAAAGATTACGTAAAACAGCCAAAATTATAATCGAGAGACAAACGTTGCCAGTCCGATCAGCTGTTTATAGAACTTTTTACATTGGAATAAATATCATCAGGTTGTTAACTTGAACTATCGCATATCTGTCATTAACTGCAAAAATCGGAAATTATGTCATTTTTTGGGAAATGTAGTTTTTCCCTACAGGGCTTTTCAAAGGTTCACTGGTGTTTTTGAAAACCATGTTTGACTTTATGCCCTTCTGTATAGTTTCCTGGACTCTTAGAACTCAGATTGCACTGTTAAGACAGTCAGAATAAATTTCCTGTGGTTGAAAACTATTTTGTGCAACTTTTTTGCATTTACAGTTTTGAGGGATATATCCCTGAAATTTTTGTAACTACAAATATGTGTAAAAGAAAAACAACTCAAATAAAAGATTATTTTGTAGTCTATTGCACTTCTGTGCATTTTCTTTTTGATGTTTTTGGACATAATGGTTGTGTTGTTGTATTGATGTATAGCCACTTAAAAAAATAGCAGTGATTTCAACGTCTCCTTCACGATGTGACAGCTTATGTTGTGTTTGTTGTCCTCTCAGTCTGTCAGGTCGAGGTGGAGGATGGGGCAGAGTCCATCCAGCTGCCCTTTAGTACCTCAAAAAACCTGCCTGAAGATTCTAAAGTGGAGTGGTTGGACAATTACAGGAAGGTCCACGTGTATATGAACGGCTCTGACCAGCCTGAAGAACAGCATCAGGTTTACAAAGACCGAACGAAGGTGAACGAAGACCTGCTGAGAACTGGAGACCTCAGTCTGACCCTGAAACAGCCCAGAGAGGCAGACAGTGGAGGATACAGATGTTTAGTCTGGAGAAAGGAAACGTTAATCAGAAAGAAAATAGTGGTGCTCAAAGTCAAAGGTTTGTTTGTTCATTCATTATTTGTGTGCGTGTGTTTTTGTTTGTGTGCGTGTTAAGTTTATTAGTTAAGGCCTATGTATTCACAGGAACATGAAGATATTCAGGGTCCAATCCTGACACGTAGTCTAATGCCTTTATTTTCAGGGCCATGTCCACTTAATACTCCACTTTATGGTTATATGGCATTTTAGTTAATATAAAGCATAGAATTGAGGCACTTCAAAAAATTTCATCTCAACAAAACCTAAAACAGTTCAGGGGGTTGACCCAGTGGTCGGTAGCACAGAAGTACATTCCTGAGCAGGTCTGGAGGCCACACACACTGAAGGCAGTGGTGGC